AAGAATCTTATATAGACTAAAGCTATCTTTCAAAAACGAAGATGAAATAAATCCTTTCCCAGATAAGCAAAACTGAGAGAATTTGTTAGCAGACTCATTTTACAATACTAAATGAAGTTCTTCAGGCTGAAATCAAGTGACCCTACAGAAATATGAATCTACAGGAACAAACAACATTGATAATTATGTAATGATAAATGCATATTTTTCCTCCTTAATTGATTTCAAAAAGCAATTTCAAATAATATGTATATAATGGATTGTTGGGCCTATAACATATAGAAATGTAATGTATTTTACTCCCTCTATATTTTTGCCAATAGCACATAGGAAGTAAGTAAAAACAAAGCTGTAATGGGCTAAGGAAATGACTACAGATGGTAAAGTAGTAACTATAACAATGCATTATAGAGTTTTTAACGTTAATATATTATGTAGGCATTGCCTAAAAAGTACTTTAGACCTGGCACTCAGTGAGGATTTCAGATATTATTATCCTATTCATTACATTCCCTGCCAAAACAAAACACAAAATTCAGTATCGTTCACCCAAATAAAGGAATCCTCTCCTCCTCCAGCTACTTTTATTTGCTGCTCTGGTAGCCAGGCTGAAAACACATTTGAGAATTACTTCTCCTGTATCTGTTCTGGGGTCTTATGATTTTGGAAGTCCAGAAGCCAGTTTCTGACAGTGAAAACCAGGAGACAGTGAAGAAGTAGGTTTCCCCCCTTCTTTTTTATCATAAAAAATAACACACCAACATAAAAGATACCTTTTTAAGTAGGTCAAGGAAAAAAACTCACCCATAATCCTATTGCCTCAACACAATCATTTGTTTCATTGTATTTATTTCCTTTGGCTTTTATTCCATAGACACTCACATTTTATTTTACAGAGGTGTAATCATTTATACTCTCTTTTTCATTTAGGATTACACTGAATACTTTAGCAAGTTTAATTATCATTTTTGACAGCACCAGATATATTTAGGGATATATAAACTATTTTCTTTTGTCTCCTTCCCTTCTGCCCATTCTATTTCCCAGGGATGGGCCTTGAAGGCTTGGAGCCCAGACTTCTAGACTTAAAAGAGCTCAAAAAGTAGCAAATTCTCACTTTGGTGAAGTGATATAGATGGCCTCTGACTTTACCAAAGTTATTAGGTGTTCAAATAGAAACACAAGTTTCATCTAAGATTCATGAGAATGCTAATTATAAGTTTTGATTTATAGCCTATGAATTCACAATACATAGTGTACCTATATTCGTAAACCTACCTGCTACCCTCTCTACTTCTTTTCTTCTTCAAAAACCAGAAGACTGAATCTACTTTAATTCAATACACTGCCTTAAGTAGTTGTTTTAGAGGAAAAAGAAGTCCAAATTTTGAATTAATCAAGTAGTACGGTGGCTGAAACTTGCATTTTATTAGGAGATAAACAAAAATTATCTAAAAATAGCATTTCCCCATTTTTCTAATATAACAATGTCATTTTTAAAAACACACTATTAAAACTTTTTTCTAAAACTGTCATAATTATATTATGCAAATTTAGTACATGGCCTACACAAGGAAATAGAGGGAGTAAAATAGTTTCATGTCCATCTGGCTTCATATGAAAAAGCCAGTTTAACAGCTTTCAGTTCACTGACATTTGCAAAGACCTTTGTACTTTCCCTAGAAAAAAGAAAGAAAGAAAAACACACAACTCTAATGTCAAGTGGGTCATTTCCAGCATAGAGGTGTTTGTTTCCTTCCTTAGCATTACTCATTCAACTATTCAGTCAGAGGCATAATCCATTTAGAGATACGATAGACAAATGTCTTTTCCATTCTGCAAGTTAAAACTGAAAGCCTCGTTCCAAGTATCGTAAGCATAAACTGGTTTTTTTGGTTACTGGGCGTTTGGGGTGCACATTATCAGAATGCAACATGCTATCATGTTTGAATAAATAGCCTATTTTAAAACAAAGCAACAAGATAAAAGTTACTTCGTAATAACTATATTGATACTTTTTTCAATGTAATTGCTTATTCTGCGTGTTACGATTTGTAGTAAATCAGCTCCTGAAGTAAATACTTGTTTATTCATGTGTCTGTGGCTACCATCCTCACTAGGTTTCAACATAACTAAATAACTGTAACTGTGCCTAGTAAAATGAATTAGTATTAAATTCTTTAAATAATCATTAACATGAGAATTAATTGGCACAATCTACCAATTTACTATTCAATGAATAACTAGTTGACAAGGAGGGCTCTACCCATTAAAAAAAAATTGTGACTAACATTGGAGAGCAAATAAGTTTACGCCACATAATTTGAAAGGCTCATTGGTATATTAATCCAGATAAGTTTGGTAAAGAGAAGATAATGGAATACATAGTACCGTCGTTGACAATTGTAGACCTTGAGAAAATCACTTCCCTTCTTTATGTTTCTGCACCTGTAAAATAAAGGGATTAGGCTATATCATCTCTGAAGTTTTTATAATCTATGAGTTTATGCGGCTTTCCGTTAACTTTATGAAAAATCACTCTTAAAGTTTTGTCATATATGTCTAAATGCAAGAATACCACTATTTACATGACAATTGCTGTCAGTCTACAATTTCTAAAATTCATTTTATAATTATTTTTGCAGAGACAGGGTCTCATTCCATTGGTCAGGTTGGAGTGCAGTGGCACTATCAGTTCACTGCAGCCTTCTAGTCTTGGACTCAAGTGGTTCTCCCACCTCAACCTCTTAAGTAGCTGGGATTACAGGCTTGAGCTACCTCGCCCTACTTAAAATTCATTTTCACTTATGAAGCTCTCTTAAAATGAACACTACCTATATATTTATAGAAATCACAAAGAAAAAAATCTATGATATATATTCATGTAGGATCTAGAACTGGTAAATTTGTGTAAAGAAACCTGGAAAAGTGTGAAGATGATAAACTAGTTCATGAAAGTTCTTATCTACCATTCTTGTTTGTACCTGGAGGATATGGCAGGAGCTATGTACCAAGGATTTGTGTTATTATCCAAATTGCACTATGTTAGTATGCACAAAAGCCAAATATCAAAACAAGCTAACTGGCACCACTCTAGTTAAGGCTAAAAACTGATATGAGCCATTACGTGTGAGTAGGGCTGAAATTTTCACATTACATTAGAAATGTAAGGGATATTATTATTCAATTAGTTCCATTTCTTTATTTCTAGTGAGAAAACTGAGGTCCAGAAGTAACTTGCCCAATGTTGCAGATCTAATCACTGTTAGCTGACAAGGGGCCCAGATCTGACTGCCAGTTTAATTGTTCTACATCATACTGTCTTCTCAAAACCATAAGGTAAGCTCTGACGAGTAAGTAGGAGAAATCAAAATGGAATACAAAGTCTCAAACAACCTTACACACAGTACATCTAGTACAACTTTTCACTTAAATCTGGAATTTCTTCTGTGACACCTATGACAGATGTCATTCAGCTTCTGCTCTGTCTCTAGTGATAAGACACTCATTAATGCTTAGGAAGCAATCCCTTTCCTTTACGGACAAATAACCATAAAGTTATTTCTCATACTGAGTTCGAATCTGGTATTTTGTAATTTTCACCCAGTTCTGCTCTGAGAGCCAGATAGAATACATTGTACATGCCTCTCAAATATTTGAAGGCAGCTATTATGCCTTAGTCACATCTTTCAGCTGGTTTGGGAGTTTCAGTTTATGGTACCTTTTCCAACTTGGCAAATACCTCAGGATTTGCTCTAATTTGCAAATATCCTTTCACTGCATCCTGGAATAACATTAGTAATGCAAACGTGGTTTGAACAGCACTTTGTGTATCATTTTCCCATGATGTATTTTTCACCACTCTAAAATTAGATCAGTTTCTACAAAACTGACTTATATGTTATTTCCAGCAAGCAAAAATCTCCAGATTTTTTCATCTATACTCTTGACAAGTGCTGTTTCCTTTTCTATCAATGGCTTCCTGTTTGTTTCTAGGATAAAGACTAGGTAGGGTTCACGATGCCATCTGTAATTGTGTTCCTAATTAGTAGCCTCATTCCTAGGCCAAACTTTTTTTTTTTTGAGACGGAGTCTTGCTGTGTTGCCCAGGCTGGAGTGCAGTGGTGCGATCTCGGCTCACTGCAACCTCCACCTCCAGGGTTCAAGTGATTCTCTTGCCTCAGCCTCTCGAGTAGCTGGGACTACAGGCGCGTGCCACCACGCCCCGCTAATTTTTTGTTTTTAGTAGAGACAGGGTTTCACCGTGTTAGCCAGAATGGTCTCGATTTCCTGACCTCGTGATCCACCTGCCTCAGTCTCCCAAAGTGCTGGGATTACAGGTGTGAGCTACCGAGCCCAGCCCAGTCCTCATATTTAACTGCACCTTCCTTCCTCTAGGCTTCCATATATTATTCATCCCCCTCAGCCAGGAATGCTTCTCCTGGGTCACCCAGGTCTACCCAATTCTTAGTTATCCGTCAAAACTTAGCTGAACTACCACTTCTCTGGGGGACTCTTCCTTGTCCTGCTCCCCATGTTCCCCTCCCAAAAGTACCTTTTACCTGTTACAATACCTTACAAATCTCCTTCAGTCCTTATTAAAATAGTAATATTTGGGCAATGAGGTGCCTGTCTCCTTAGCTAGACCATGAAATCTATGAGGACACAGTCTGTCTTTACCTAGCACAGAGTTTTGCATGATTTATACATTCAATAACTATCGTTGAATGAACGAACACTGAATAAATAGAATCAATATTTAGATTTCCCTAGGTAATCAAATAAAACATTTAGCTAAGCCCTGGGTTGTATGCTGTACAAAGAATAAACTGTATAGGTTACAAGACAATCTTGAGAAAGAAAGACCTCTCCAAAAGAAGTGATGATATAATTTTAAAAGTTTTCAAACTATGTCCTATAAAAACGAAGGGTAATTTTTTTTCTTTTCACGCTTTCTAGTGTGGGCGTGGGGAGCATGGAAAAAGGCAAATAAGCACAGGTCAGTGGTATATTTGTTGTTTTACTGTTAATTTGACACATCTGAACCAAAGCATTCACAATACTTGATATACTTTGAAGAGAATCGTATACTATAGTCTTAGACATAACCACGGAACAAGCAGAACAATTAAAACTACATAAGGCCTTAAAATATATCCACAGTGTGTATTATTTCCATATTCATTCATTTACAAATTAGACTACATACCATTAATTTTTTATTTTTATTTTTATTTTTCTTTCATTGTTTTATTCAGGCAGGGTTCATTCAAGGAAAGGCAACTTAGTTTTTGTATGTGTGAGCTTTATTGTTTTACTATATTGGTTAATATAAAAGTTATGAATTAAATGTATTCTTATCTCCTATACCCAGGAGTGAATCCATGAAATTCTCAGATAGTAATCCAAAACAACAGGTCCTATTTTTAAAAATAGCCGAAGTGGGCCAGGCGCGGTGGCTCATGCCTGTAATTCCAACACTTTGGGAGGCCGAGGAGGGCAGATCATGAGGTCAGGAGTTCGAGACCAGCCTGATCAACATGGCAAAACCCTGACTCTACTAAAAATACAAAAATTAGCCAGGCATGGTGGCGGGCATCTGTAATCCCAGCTACTCGGGAGGCTGAGGCAGGAGAATCACTTGAACCTGGGAGGCAGAGGTTGCAGTGAGCCAAGATTGCACCACTGCACTCCAGCCTCAGCGACAGAGCAAGACTCCGTCTCAAAAAATCAAAAAAAAAAAAAATAGCCAGTGAAAAGGGATCAGATAGCCAGTCTGTTTGTGGTCTTTAAGATCAACTCATGGACTTTCAGGATTTCATACAATGAAGACTACTGCAACTCTATGAGACTATGAGATCAGTCAAAATTTAAAACATTGCATACAAAATCATTCTTGAAATCTCTAAATGCCTTTTAAATAACCAGCATGAAAATTTTAAGTAGTTGCCTCACAGTACCAAACTTAGAAGTCAAAACTAGTTAAAATTCAGTGCTATCATGACTTCTCATTTACAAGGTAACTCATTGGTAAATTAACAGATGGCATAAAAATTAAGATTTACATCTTTTTTAAAGGATAAATGTATGTAATCAGAGTATAGAGAAAATTCAATGTATTTTACAATAAAATATCTTTAAACCTCTATCCCTGTACAACAGGGTTTAGGTTAATTCTAGTGAACTTGCATGGTTTTAAATCTCTTTTACAGTTCATTCTATTATGAGTACTTAAATTGCTTTAGATACATAGCTTTCTTCAAAAGAATATTACAGTTGTATTCCAGGATAAGATTTAGTACATTGAGATGTTTTAAAAATATTTATAAATTTGTTTCTAGTATGCAAAAGCATTTGGCAATACTTTTACAGCATTTGATTTTATAGAATTAAAATCTCATACAGTACTCATCTTGATGTTAAAAAAAAATTCACAGAAAAAATATAAATTACACAGCCTGACTGCATGGTACTGTTATTTCCAGTTCTTAGTTCTGGTAATTAAAACCTTCATTAAGTCTGTTAACAAATCATTACCTGTACATTTATGAAGGCAACTGACATGATTTGCAAACAAAACCTTCAGGTTTTATGTTAGTTACCAAAGAGTGCAGTTCAGCAAGAAAGGAAAACCCAGTAGCAAATTTACAGAATATTTTACAAATTTACCAGTTCCTGTGACACAAACTGTTTCAACCTTTCAAGATACTGTCCATACAGTTCCACATCATTGTGACCTGCTCCTTCAACCCAGAGAGGCTCCACAGGTCTTTGGCAACGTTCAAACAACGCGAGGCCATGTGAAAAGTCAATGACTTCGTCTTCAGTCCCATGAATTATTAATACTGGAGAGGTTATCTTAGAGATTTTGTCAATGCTGCAGGGAAAAAGGAAGGGGAAAAAAATGCAATAAATTAACTATGTAAAGGAACATAAATATTCTTGTGCTGTATCAGACAGGTAATTCAAATATGAGAATTGTACGAATCAGTTCAGAAGGTAAGAACGTCTCTTGAATTTCCAGTAAGATTCAAAAATTGCCTTTTACATACTCCCTACCTTAAGATGATCTGAGGAAGTTATTTTCATGCACTTGTTTTGATGGTTTTGCTGGAATCACTCAATGCTCTCCTCACTCTACTGTACCTTTCTACAATGTTGACTTTTGGCACAGAGAAACTTAGGTGTCCAGAAGAGGAGAAAACTTAAGAACCATTTCAAGTATGCGCTAATTTCACTTTTTGCACTCACTATATTCTTTCTCCTAGTCTCCTACTAAAATGATAGCAAAATGTTTTATGTTTTTGTTCTTGTTTGAGGATAAAGATACAAAAACAAAGAGAATGTACTAAAATATAATAAAATGTTGGAGCTGGAAAGATTAATGTGTGAAATAATTTATCAAAAGGAGAGAAGAAAACACAATTTTAGGCAGACAGACCATAAAGTGATGAACAAAACCAATTTATACCACAGAATACCCCAGAAAGTTAAGGAATTACCATGGTGATGAAGGGGGTGACTGAAATATACAGGATTTTTTCAAAGTCTGTGTAAGAAAGTTAGCCTCCCCTTCCCAGTTCCTTTTGCCTGTTCATATACCCAGAAACTGTCTGCCCCCAAGACTGGAATGTCTGTGGACTAGAAGACTCCCAGAGTTTAGAACAGAGGTATCATAGAGACAACGGACACATATGCATTTACATACTGGCTACTATGAACCCATTTTCCCTATGTGGCTCCCAGAATGCTGGTAGTCAGGCCACTGTCCTCCAGGAGGGACTTTTAGAAAGAGCCTTCTTTGGAGATTATATCAGAGCAGCCCTTTAGTTGATCTGCTAAATCTTGATTGCCGGCTTATATGTAAGAGTAAAAAGTTGATCAGTTCCTTTACTTACATATAAGCAGGCAACCAAAAGTTATCAGACATGAGAGGAGAACACTTCAAATAACACAGGAATCAAAACAAACACTTTTTTAAAAAAAAACACTTGGCAACTTGGAGGAGACAGAAACTACACAGACAAACAATTCTTTTTAAGAATCCTTAGAGAAAGATATTATAAATAACATAAAATGAAAATGGAATTTTGACAAGGAAAAAACCATCAATGAAATAATCTAAGGCTGCATTTGGTAAGAATAAATACTTGGGTTTACTATCTGCTGTCAGAAAGAGGTTCAGCGGTAGAGGAATTAAAACTTGAATAAAAAAAGAAATATATTATCTTTTTCAAACAGTTTATTTTTATTTTTTGAGACAGGGTCTTGCTCTGTCACCCAGGTTGAAGTGCAGTGGCACCATCTTGGTTCACTGCCATCTCTGTCTCCCAGGTTCAAGGGATTCTCATGCCTCAGCCTCCCGAGTAGCTGGGATTACAGGCGTGCATCACCACGCCTGGCTAATTTTTGTAATTTTAGTGGAGACAGGGTTTCACCATGTTGGCCAGGCTGGTCTCGAACTCCTGGCCTCAAGTGATCCACCCACCACGGCCTCTGAAAGTGCTGGGATTACAGGCGTGAGCCACTGTGCCTGGCCAAACAGTTTATTTTTAGTGTTGCTCTCTGTTGGTGCACCAGAAATGAAAGAGGGAGCTAGACAGAGATATAAGTTGGCAACAACACTGATATAGGGATACTCAGATACATCCCTATCATTTTTACCATTCAGCTAGACAGAGGCAGTGTAATGCCTATACCTACATTACCTGAAACAAAAACAAACCCAAAACAAAATAAAAACCCAAACACGCCCAGTTTGCCCTTGTGATAAGATCATGTGTTCACATACTTTCCCTACTAAAGTGATCCATTACTGGCTAGTGATGAAAATAATGTGTTTTTAAAATAATCTTTGCTATTCTTTATAAAGAACCATGTGATGACTTTGCCTTAGGCCCATCGGCCATTCACAAAAAAATCGTTTGTATTGTTGCCAATTGGAGAAAGGAAAGAAAACTAAAATTTGCCAGCTTATTTCTTGTCTTCCACTTCTTTGAGAAAAATAGTCCATTAATTTTTTCCAACTATGAAGAGTAGGTGGGAACTACCTCCTGTCTTGAAAAGCATGAAGGAAAAGTAGCTACTTTTCTTTCAAATACATCTAAGTATGTTGGCGGGTTTTGTGGCAGCAATACTTACTAATCTAGTTAATTTAAGATTCAACTTTTTTCAATTCACTTTTGTAAATTAGATATCATTAATCAGATATTTACTCATTTTAACCTCTACTTGTTCTTCTCTAACATCAAGTGTTTCACTGGATGGCACCATCCATTAGCACCTCAGGGCAGAAACATGGTAGTCATGTTCAAGTTTTTCTCTTTAGCATCCTACGTCCAAGTCTGACACTCAGTTCTGTCAAATTTATCTTTCAAACTCATTCCCTTGTCTCCAATACTAGTGCCACCACCTGAGGTGTAAGGCCCTCAGCAATTTTCATCTGGATTACCACTCCTCAAACATTTCAGCCTTCTGACTGGTCACCAGCTAATACCCTCTTTATAAATTAATTTTTCATAATGTATATGTGCTAATATATGTAAAATAGAAACTTATGGTTGAGTGAACTATGTCATGAATACTTTAAATGATGAAAAAATTCCTAAGTTTCTTGGAATTGAACTATTTTGAACACTGCTACTTACTTTGGGAATGCATCAAAACAGTAGGTCTTCTTGGTGTCAGGAAAGGCAACTCGCATTCCCGAGGTCAGAGGAGAATGAAGAATAACAGCAGCACTCTCGTATCGAGCAGCAAGATCCACAGACGGTACTGTCCCTATACTTTGGCCATATATAATCACATTTTCAGGGCGAATGCCATATCTACAAAGTTCAGGCGTTAAAAACAAAAAAGTTGGAGTGGTATGAAATGTTCCATCATTCCAAAGGATTTGATCTTAGAATAAGACAATGTCAACTAATCCATTTTTTAAACTTAAGTTTCTTTGGCTATTACTGTTATTTTTAACATTACAATAAAGTCTGTATCATCAGTTTATTTCATGTGTTTCTATTTCATCTTTTGGAAAAATAATTGCTGAGGTATTTTAAAATTTCAATCTTAAGAAATAAATTTATTAAATAATTTATTACACTATAGTATTTCAACCTAGCATACTGCTGACTGAGCTTGGGGCATATCACTAATATTTTAATGAACTGATGTTGAATGAATAGGTCATATTTATTTTCTGTTCAATGTAAGAAAAATTATTTATTTCTCCACACATCAGGAGCAGCTCATTTTAATTTCCAAAACTGGTCATATTGATGAACTGTTACATATAGTTACGGTATGAAATGAATAAACTATATGTATGGTTTTAGTCAAGGGCAAATTATGATTTTATGATTTTTCTTAAAGTTTGTCTTTCCTTAGTTGTAGAAATGGACTAATGGTTGAAAAGATAAAAAAGAATTCCAAACACCACATGGTCCAGTTATTTATGAATAGACTTTATGCTAAAATCTCAAGGTACTATTTTAATCCCTTTAAAATGGCTGCAGGTTTAAATAGATGAAAACTCATTGACTCAATAAATATTTATTGGGTACCTAGTATGTTCAAGGAACTGCTTGCTACTTGTCTACAGTATAATCATCCCAAAAGTAAACTACTGCAAGTCCAAGTGCAGTGCTACCTGAGCTAATGAATGTGGGGTTCAAGGTTACAGTGACATTAAATACAGCTTTCCACTTAGAAGGCAGACAGCAGTCACTCTGGCAGCTAAGACCACAACAGCTTCTTTTGGAAATCTTTTGCAAACGTAAAATATCTTTCTGAGAATCTGAATATTCACCAGGAAAGAGCGAGGCAAACTGTCCCTGTGTTCTCTTCCAGGGGCATAATACTATTTCAACTATACAGGTAGTAACACAGGTCTCCCCACATAGTTTCTTCAAGTCAGGACTACACAAGCATTTGGAAAGGACACAGAAAGTGGGGCTCTGTCTACTCCAAATTGACTCTAAATATTAGCAAACTCAGAAAAGCTTTTTTCTTTACAACAGACCTAGTTGCACATATTTCAAATGAATGAAGAAATTAGGAGAATGAACATTTGCAGCATAACCACAATTCTTGAGGTTGCATTGTTGCTGTCAGCTGAGTATCAGCATTGTTGGTGGCAATCATGAAATTTGGGCTACAGCTAGCAATGACAATGCTTGAGGATAGAGTTGCAGAGGTAGCTGACAATTAAGCATTAGGGGACTCACAAGAGTAACAACTGCCTAACAGTATGAGCTAGAAAGGAGTTTAGAGACCATTTAATATAGACTCCAGCTGCCTAATGAGCAGACCTTCAAAGTCACCAGTAGGTGACAGCTCTATAATTAGAACTCAGGTATACTGACTACCAGGTTCAGTGTTTTTTACCTCTGAAGCCCACAGATGAGGAGCTCAAGGACTTTGTGGGAAAGGTGCACAGTGAATGCCAGGCCCTGAGTTTCTTTTGGTCCATCAGAAGGTCAGAAATTGGAGTTATTACGGATATCCAATTTTCCCAAAAAGGACATCATTAAACAAATTTAAGTTTAAGTTTATTTAAGTTCATTATTTATTTTCTCTCTGCTGGTTACTTAAGTCCTAACTTTTAATCAGGTAAATAAAATAAAAGGCATGTCTTCTAATCACACACATTTCATTAGATGACAGAATTCCAGAACTGGAAAAGATCTTGGGGATCATTTAATTCAATCTCTTCATTAAACAGATGAGGAAACACAGGCTCAGGGAAGTTACATTTCCTAAAGTACCTACACTTATGAAACTCTTACAACTATATTTTGGGTTCAACATGAAAGAAAACAGAAGTCTAAAATTCTAAAATGTAAGTGCTAAAATAGTATGTGGGATTATTGGTGAAATCTGCCCATTCCTCATTAACACTGGCTATCAAATATGTTAAAAAAATTAATCAAGACTGTAAATCATTTTTGAAAGTTTTCTTCAAATTGATAAATGCCAAGATTCAAAAAAAAACCCAGTAAGTTGACCACTTAAAAAATGGGATTTTTTTCACAAAGACACAGAACACTGAACCCAATACTAACATGTTTTGTTTGAGTAAAGTGACCCTTTTTTTGTTACTGGGAAGCACTAATAATGAAGGCTATCAGTTTTAACTTAGCACCCTTTAAAACTTCATTATTCCACTGAAGTTAAACTTTAAAAGTGTAAACTTTATCGCTCAATAAAGTTATTTTGTTTTAATTATAATACTTTCTTACAGTTATACGTTATTCAACTGGCTGGCTCTAAAAAGTGGGCACTCAGGTTTTGTTTGTTTTAAGGCCTGATGTAACTCATATCAATATACCTAAAAAGATTTTTATTTAAAGCAGTTTTTAAATTTATCAATTAGACAATAATTTTACCATCCCCCATCGACTCTACCTACTACTTGCCATCTTTTTTTCCTTATTCCCCATATTTATGTTTTTATATAATTCCAATTGATTTCAAGAATCCCTTTTATGTAGAACTTTGCTATGAGAGCATAACTTTACTACGTTTCTTTGGAGGGAAAAATAATTTTAAAGATTTTTTATATATCTTTAATATTATTAACTACTTCATTATTATTAAAATTGAGGAAATTCTTCCTGACTAAATCAAATCTTTAATATTTAAACATTAAATTAGAAAGAGTAAGTTTTGTTTATATCCTATAGGTTCAGTCAAAAACATTCTGGAAGTCAGATGTTTTATTTTCATATAATATAAAGAACAGCCTATATTAAGGTTATCTGTTTATTGTACACTAACCTGACTAATAATACACTGAAGTCTACCAAATTGTGATTTTTCAAGAAAAACGTTTAGGTATCTTGGCTACTAGAAAAGATTAATGCAATTTCTAGTTCCCCAAAATGTATGCTGCTATATAATCAAAGAATAACTGAACAGTAAGAAAATTTTATTAAACAATTTATCATAACATTAAATTTTTTTTTTTTTTTTTGAAACAGAGTCTCACTCTGTCACCTGGGCTGGAGTGCAGTGGTGTGATCTCGGCTCACTGCAACCTCCGCCTCCTGGGTTCAAGCAATTCTCCTGCCTCAGCTTCCCAAAGTGCTGGGATTACAGGCATGAGCCACTGCGCCCAGACATTTTTGTATTTTTAGTAGAGATGGGGTTTCACCATGTTGGCCAGGCTGGTCTCAAATTCCTGACCTTGTGATTTGCCTGCCTTGGCTTCCCAAAGTGCTGGGACAACAGGCGTGAGCCACCGCACCTAGCCTAAAAATTTTTTTTAAACTTGATACCATCTCTCTCAATTTTAGCAGTGAAGAATATAAAGTAAAATCTCATTTTTATAGAATGAATACTTGAAAGATAGTTCCAATAAGGTATCTTTAAGTTGTACCTCTCAAGAAGTAATCACATAAAATAATGCAAATCTTGGCTTAGGATTTTAATAGAAAGCAATCCAGCCTCATACTGTTGATGATAGATCAAGTGAATAATTAGCTAAGTCAGTATTTTCTCTCATTGCCTTGAAAGGCTGCAGCTTTGAATAAACATTTTTTTATACCACACTCCAATAAGAAAGCTTACAAAGCGAAACATTTGTCACTGGATTTATTTATTTTTTTAACTTTTTAAGAGACGAGGTCTCACTCTGTCACTGAGGCTGGAGTGCAGTGGCACGATCATAGCTCACTGCAGCCTCAAACTCCTGGCCTCAAGTGATTCCCCTGCCTTAGCCTCTTAAGTAACAACGACTAGAGGCATGCACCATGGACATCCAGCTAAGGATTTAAGTGAAAAAAAAAAAATCATACATATATACATGTATTAATGTAGACAAACCTGAAACTGTCTTTAAAAACTTTGTTTTGCTATTATGTGAAATTTAAAATTGCTGTCTAAAATATTAATTATTACAGGAACATAAAAGTAAACATAACCTCTATATAGCAGTTATGTATAATAAAAACAGCTTTTACTCTATTCTCACACATGGTATTTTTAGCTAACCACCACGAGTATGAAAAATAATTTCCAACTACAATTTACCTTGTCCTAAGAGCAAGCCAAGCAGCTTCAATGTCTGCATAGAGGTTCTTCTCTGTAGGTTTCCCGGAACTTGCACCATATCCAGAATAATCATATGAGAATATATTACAATTAATCCGTGATCCTAGTCCTATGTAAAAGCTGCTCATTTGACCAAGATCAACAGCATTTCCATGTGAGAAGAGTAAAGTGTATTTCGCATTGGGTGAGCAACGTACAAACATACAGGCAATTCTGTTGCCTTTACTGGTTCTAGTCATGAAACACTCAATAGCATCTTTTTCTCTAGAAGAATACTGCCAGTCTGCTCGTTCAGATAGATGTAAAGTCCAACGGCTTCCACTTTCATCACACATCAGTGTGTAAGTTGGATCAGGTGGCAAAAATGCTAATTTTGAAGCAATTTTCCCTGGACAAGGTGGACAGCAGAAGAGGCAACATAGTTCACTAAATGAAAGATTATTCATGCTCTGAAAAACAAAAGGAGATAGTAAATATTTTAATAACTGAATGTAGATTCTACATTCTCATACAATAAAAAGTTAAAACAAAGACAAGAGTAAATTTTATTGGCGGTTAATGACTATTACTATTTTAGGTATGATTCCAAACAGATTTTTGGCTTCTTTCTTTTCTTTTTTTGAGATGGAGTTTCGCTCTTGTTGCCCAGGCTGGAGTGCAATGGCACGATCTCAGCTCACCACAACCTCCGCCTCCCGGTTCAAGAGAATCTCCTGCCTCAGCCTCTGGAGTAGCTGGGATTACAGGCATGCACCACTACACCCGGTTAATTTTGTATTTTTAGTAGAGATGGGGGTTTCTCCATGTTGGTCAGGCTGGTCTTGAACTCCTGACCTCAGGTGATCCACCCATCTCAGCCTCCCAAAGTGCTGGGATTATAGGCGTGAGCCACTGCGCCTGGCCTTTGGCTTCTTTCTAGAGGTACTTTAAATCCTGGGGTGAGGCAAATATTCCTGACCAGCAGACAGACTCAAACACTATATGACAGGTTTCAAATAGCAGTGATTATTATCTCATTTAACAAAAATGTCAAAAATGATAAAGGTAATATTTGCCATTTCTTTACAAATAACACTGAAGGTATGACATATCTTTAGTGTAGTCTGTAGTTTCTATGTAACTCAGCAAAACTTCTCAGAACCTCATGGAGAAGCTAGGGATTCAGCATAAAGTGAATACATAATAATAGCATTTATGAAACTATTTGTCAGACATTGTGCCAAATGCTCTATGTGTATTACTTTGTTTAATTCTCAAAACAACTGTGTAAGTTGGCATGAGAAAGGAAACTTGCACAAGATGAGGCAGTGTTGGAGCCAGGATTTGACCCCAGGCTGTCACTACACTATGTTACTGGGCTATACTGCCCTCACAGATTCAGAACACGCTCAGAATACTATCACTTTGGTCACAGTGCCAGTGGTCCAAATAACCTATAGAACATTAAAGTGAATGTTAAGTATGCATGCATGCATGTATGTATGTAATTACTGCCCAAACTAAAAAGGCTATAATATAAAGTTTATTGTGGAAAAAAGGTAAAATCTACTAAAGGTAAACTTTTCTAAATGTTTGGAAGAGAAAGAGTACAAAGTTTAAAGTTAGGAAGCTGGGGTAAAATCCTAACTCTACCACTTACCGTTTACCAGCTGTATGTCCTTGGGCAAACTATCTCTTTGACTCTCATTTTCTTCATAAGTAAACAAGGCCAATACCTACACTGAAGGACTTGGTTGTGAATATCAAATGTTGGTGTAGTGAAGGTCTATCATACAATGAGTGATGGGCATATCATCACACTTTAACTGACGGACAAAAAATTAATACTTGTTTGTTCTATCAGTATTTCCTTCCATCTTGTCCTTTTTCAAACTCCTGTCTCTTTTTAGCAGAATTAGGCCATTGCTTAGTTCCAGGGAAAAGGCATTTAAAATCAACACCTTACAGGTTTGGTGGCATCCAATTTTCTCCAAAAAAAAAAAAAAAAAATCTAAATATAAGAATAGGAAAAAAAAAAAAGTACATTATTATACCAAAAATGGGATGAAAACAACTCAAGAGAGTGACTAAATGGTTGAGAATATCTGGGGGAAAAAAATGCCCTTTTCACTCACTAAAAATCAAATATATCCTATAAAGTTCAACATAAATGTGTTTATAAGCAGCAGCAGAAAAAAGCACAGGAAGAGAGAAACAAGGGTAGGTATAATAACATAAAAGGCAAGGGAATAATAAAAGGTGAGGGAAGGGCAGAAAAACATCTTGGATATTAGGAAATGCTTTAATTGCTTTCTACCTTTATTCCTTTTTAGCCTTCAAAATACTGCCTGAATAAGTTAATGGCTTACTCTGGTTGGAATAAGAAATAGGACAGAAATAACAACTAGGTGTCATCTGCCACCTTTAATTGAGGGCTTCCTGAAGTGTTGTGCTGAGAATGATTCTAAGGCATATGCAGGGCTTAGCCGCCCAATGATATGTGATAAATTAGTGACGTTTACTATAGACTTTGGCTACAAATTTACTATCCTCGTCAGGAGGATAAAGTGCCTATTGAAGAAGATGGAAGTGAAGGGACTCAAAGGGTCTGTTCCAGAGGAGGAAATGACCTGCAGAAAGATGATGAGGTACAAGGTATAATATCAATGCTATTTGTTTAGTATCAGTCTATGGTTATTTCTCAACCCCAATGACCTCATATACCATTGACTGCTGAGCCACAATAGCCTTTTTAAAAGCTTAGTAAGTAAATGGTACATATCTAGACTATAATCTTATAATTTATCTCTTAGCCAGAAAAACTTTTGTTGTTGTTTTTTGATTGTTTTTTGAGACGAAGTCTCACTCTATCGCCTAGGCAGGAGTGCAGTGGCGCGATCTTGGCTCACTGCAACCTCCGCCTCCAATGTTCAAGCGATTCTCCTGCCTCAGCCTCCCCAGTAGCTGGGATTACAGGCACACACCATCATGCCCAGCTAATTTTTGTATTTTTAGTAGAGATGGAGTGTCATGATGCTGGCCAGGCTGGTCTCGAACTCCTGACCTCAAATAATCTGCCTGCCTTGGCCGCCCAAACTGTTGGAATTACAGGCGTGAGCCACCGCACCTAGCAGAAAAGCTTTTATAAACTATAATAAACAACTTTTGAAATAAACCTGGCTGGTTGAACACATATAAGGCTGTGAAGAAGCTTCTGGGGATGAACACCAAAGGAAAGAAGCAGAAAGGAGAAAAACTGCAGTGCCAGGGTCTAGTTTAATGACAGCTTCACTTCCTTAATGCTGACAGAATGATTCCCTCTTCCACTGCCCAAAAGTCAGATAACTGGGGCTTATTTAATGACAACAGCTTGCAAATGATCACTTTCCAAAACAGGCCTGGTATAGGGCAGCGACACAGACCTACTCTCAAAATTTAATTGAATAATGTAAGTCTGAAAATTTTCACAAAAAGTATAAACAAAACAAACAAAACTACATTTTAGTATAGTGTGAGCAAGTTACTGAAGAAAAATATTTTATTCTGTAAAAAAATATATATTTTATATATAATATATAATTATTTATAATATATAACATATTATATATTTTATATATTTACATATAAATTATATATATGTAAAACTGAAATAGCTTGTTAAACGTAGATAATTTCAAGTCCAACTTGTTCTTATAAAACTCATGTAGGGCCAGGCACAGTGGATTGCCTGAGCAGTAACAGCTGAAAAGCACATCAGTGAGCTAAAAGATCAGGCTGAGTAATTTACAAATATGGAATTTTTTGTGTGTGGGAATTAAGAGATAGAAAACAAGAAAATTTAATAGATAATAAGAAGTAGAAATATCACTAACTGTACTATAGAAGTTCCAGGAAAAAAATAAAGGAGAAAATAAAGATAAGACTATCCAAGAATTTCTCAGAATTAAAAGGGGAAAAACAGACTGAAACACCTCAAAGTGTACCAAAAAACAACAAACTACTTACAAATGAACAAGATCAGATGAACATATGACTTTCAAATATCAACACTGGAAGCCAAAAGACAATGAAGAGATAATTTTAAGCTAAAGAAGAAATCAAACTTTTAACCTAGTATTGTACACAGAACAAAAATACAGTTTTAATATGAGGATAAAGGTATCTGGGCTGGGTATGGTGGCTCACTCCTGTAATCCCAGCACTTTGGGAGGCCAAGGTGGGAGGACCACTTAAGCAACATAGGAAAACATTGTTTCTATCAAAAAAAAAAAAAAGAGAGAGAGAGAGAGATCTGCAGGCCCACAAAAACTTGTAAGACTTAACCAAATCAAGTCTCTCTTTGAAAAACCCCAGCAAGGAGGAAAGGAGATAAATCCAAGGGAAGGCCAGGCACGGTGGCTCACACCTGTAATCCCAACACTTTGGGAGGCCGAGATAGAAGGATTGCTTGAGCCCAGGGTTCAAAACCAGCCTGAGCAACATGGCAAAACTCCATCTCTATAAAAAATACAAAAATTAGCCGGGCATGGTAGTGTGTGCCTGTAGTCTCAGCTACTGGGGTGGCTGGAGTGGGAGGACTGCTTTGAGTCTGGGAGGTCGAGGCTGCAGTGAGCTGTGATTAAGCCACTACACTCCAGCCTGAGCTACAGAGTGAGAGCCTGTCTCAACAATAACAACAAACAAAAAACCCCCAAACCCCAAGGGAATTCTATGAGATATCTGAGATATGAGAAATAAAGGAGAATAGTTAATACAATGTTTTTTGTACAAGTGAGCAATGGAAGCAAGGAGGGTGAAGACAACAAAGTATATCCCTAAAAATCCAGAATAAAAACTTTGGTGAATATGCATATGAAGAGGATTGACAAAAGAGGTACTATTTAAGAGGTAAAAATGTGCTGGGGTGCCTGACTTGTTGAGAATGCTACTGATACTGATAAGCTTAAGACACAGAAGAAAAGCATGAATATAAGCATGACTCTTAATAAGTCAGACATAATCATCAGAAAAATGATAGTGCAGGGCACATCTAAAGGAGTTATAATTATCCATTACAAAACTCTAGCTTTAAATATTAGTGTTCAACTTAAGGAGAGAGTAAGCACAAAGAAACAAGAAAAAGAAAATTAAAAACAGATATCAACACAACAAAGAACAAAAAGCAATGGAAAACCAACAGCTGATTTTAAGAAAAGGCTTCCACTACTACTAATAGCAGATAGTATTAACTGAACACTTACAAAGTGTCAGGCACTATTCTAAACACTTGTCACACATTAATCCTTTCAACAATCCTCTGCTGTAGGGACTATTACTACACCCATTTTGCAATAGAGAAAACAGAGGCACAGAAGAGTTATATAAGTTGCCTAATGTCACAAATATGATCAATGGAACTGATATGTGACAGAATGACTATGTAACCCAAACTCATAACTATTGTTTTGTAGAAAGGGTACTCAGACAAGAC